GATGGGAGGAGGCAGCACACCCTGTACTCCTCATGCCAAGAGAAGCCTGTCATTACAGATGAGGATCCATGCGCTGGCACCCTGCAGTATATGCTGGAAGGAATTAATTGTTAAGGAGATGAAGATAAAAGGGTCTAGAGGGTAAGGATCTCCTCCAAGCACCTTAATTTCTGGCAAGTCTGTTTGTGTTGGGCTAGTATACCCAACACATATATACCTTGAATGATGCCAAAGCAGGAGTCCCATCTAAGGCCTCTTGATAGAGAGTGAAAGAGTTAAGTGTGTGTCCAGCTTGATTAATCCTGTCCTAACATCTTTAGATAGACAAGGTTAACATCCTCATGCGGGTATCTCCTTCCCAGTGACTACAGAGAGAACCTAAGTGGGCGTGTTTATTTCTGAGACAGTCAAGTTGTGTCAGGTCAATCCTGGTTTTTATTGCTGTCTTTCTCTGTAGGGCCACACTTGAGCCAGCACAGGTTCACTCATGACACAGACCCTCGAGTTGTAAGGTGCTTGCAAGACCTAAGAGGTCACAAAACTCTGGTGCAAACTCATCTTGGCATTTACTGTTTTCTTTCCTGTCTCCTGTGGAAGTAGCAGGCACTGGATAGCCTGAAGTGTGTGGGATGCCAGGTGATTGGAACATAGAGCTTTTTTGGGGGAAAAATCTGGAGACAGGCTTGTTTTGCACTGGTGAACTCACCAGAACTATGCTCTAGTGCAAAGCTGGAACAGCAACCTTCTTAAATGAGAACAGTGATGACAAAAAATGAATCATGAGCTTCTTCTGACAGCGTTCTCCATAAACCCTGTCAAACACCTGTCCTGCAAAAAGTCCTTTTTTGGCTGGTTTGTTTTCTCTTGAAGCATTTCACAGACCCATTTCCCGTTCCTTGCAGCCCATCTCTGGTTGGTCCACACCCCACTGGGAGCTTTGGGAACTGGACCAATGCATCCCGTGGCAGGAGGATCTTGGAGCCTATGGAGGAACTGATGAAGTGACTTCTTGGAAGGAGCAGGTCTAAAGGTGACCATAGAGGGGCTGCAGTGAGGAGCCCACCCTGTTTCTTACATGGCAGTGGGGTGATGGTGTGCTGAGCCCAGTGGGGTGGTGGCCTCTCTGGAGAGAGGGGACGGTGGCTGAGGAGAATTAAAAGGGAGGAGGGACTGGAAATAATGACTTCATCTCCCCTTTTACTCATTTAGTTTTGTGTCCAGGTTCTCCCTTAGAGGGGCTGCAAGTTTCCAAGACCAAATTTTGCCTTGTGGGAAAAAAAAACTTGTTCCAAGTGTTTCTTGGGATGCAGGCTGGGGTACTTGAGGAAGTTGTGACCCCCTGTCTCTGCAGCTTTATTAGCTCTCCTTCTGCACCTCCCCAAAACCATGTGTTTGCTGCAGGAACATCATGTCATAGACACAGCCAGTTACTTTACCCTATTTGAGAGGATATATAAATCAGATCAGAAGACAGCACTGGGTCATTCTGTCCTGACTGAAGTGATTAAGCAGATCTGTGCTATTAAATGCAGTTATCTCCTGAAAATGTCAGACTGCCTGCCAACATCTTGCCATGAGTTGAATGAGCATCTGCTGGCCAAGGATTCAGACACTGGACTGGAGGAACAGCAAAATGAAAACCCACCTTGCTGCCCCTCAGTGTTGTGGTTCTGCATAGAAAACTCAACATGCCCAGCAGTTTAGTCCAAGCTTTATGGGTTTTGTCCAGCTGAGATGTCTCATGTCTGACAGCTGTGTCATAGGGGTGGGTGTGAGGGGAAAGGAGTTTTGAGGAAATATCATTGTAAAAACACAGGACTTTTTCTGTGTCCTCGCTGAAATAACTCGGTGGCTTCCCCAGACATCTGGCAAGTATCGTGGCTGCGACTGGGAGATCTCAGAGAAGGAGCCTTTGCACTGACATTAAATGCAGTACAGGAAAACCGAGAGGAGAAATTGCTGCTCTAAGGAGGGAGAACGTTTGCAGCACTGCAGAATGGCACAGGGAGCTTTCACTGAAGGCTGAGATGGGATTAGCATCCCTGCAGCAGTGTTTTGAACTACCTCCTGGCTGTCTGGAGGTCGTTCAGGACCCGCTGCCCCCCTGCTGTGGCAGTGCCGGCCGTTAGCATTCTTCATCCACAAATGGATGCTGGCTCACACATTGGCTCTTTAATAGTTCCCTTTAGCATCTGAGGACATAAAGCATTAGGAAACTTGCAGTGGTGCAATAAAAGGCAGCAGGGATGTTTGATAAGACAAAGTGTTAGAGGTTTCCTCCTGCATAAGTAGTCTGTGTACATATATATCTCTATATACATAAACACAGACACATGCATGTGCTTCAGGTTGCCTAGGCAGAAAGTCAGGACTTACCACCCTTTCCTAGGTTAGGGAAAGGCCACTGGTGTTCCTTACACATGAAAACAGGGCTGATGATGAAATTTGTGTATTGTTTTTCATTGTTGTCTCAAGATTGCTTTGCAGCCATATGAGGATGCTGCAGAAGTACGGATGAAGTGTCCTTACAACAGAAATGCCTTTTACATTGACAGTGGGAAGGAAGGATTCCCAGGTTTTATTTCTCTTGGACTTTTGTCTTGCACGTTGTGCTCATGGACCTCCAGTTAACTGTGTTGCTACAGCGGGAATTTCCCTGGTGCTGTGAGGCTGCAGGAAGCAGACCAGACTGGTGGGACAGTAGGAGAAGGACCATTTGCATTGCTTGGCCGGTGTCAGTGTCCGAGCCTGTCACTGTCCCAGAACATTTACTACCTTTACCATTAGCTTTGCTTCCAGTGGAAGGATTCAAAACTGGAGGTGTTTGGAAGAGCGTGTTTGCTTGCAGGCAGTTAAAGCAATGGCATAAGGTCACTGCCCCTCAATTCCCAATCATGATTTAATGGCAAGGTTCGGCTAGGTTTTCTGGCTTCAACTTCTTGTTTATAAGGGTGTCTGCCTCAGCGAAGGAAGAGCATCTTCAGGAGCATCACAGCAAGAGCTTTGGAAGAACGATTGTTCATGGTATCTGGGATGAACACGAACAGCAGCTCCTCTATCCCACGTTGTCCTAAGGGAGGTCTCCCACACGATGCCTACAGCATTAACCCATCTCTCCAGGGGACGGTTTTCCATCTGTGAAGGTAACAGTACTGAGCTGTGCAGGACACATTTCTTTCCTGCTAATTCAGCGTTGTGCTGGGAGAATTGGCCCCTTGTGGGCTGGTGTCAGTGGCTACAGGCATTTCCCCTCTCAGCATGCTGCAGCCATATGGACACAAGGACACACGCCGCGTTCACAGCAGTGGTGCTGCTGCAGCTGACTTTGTTCCCTTTAAAGTTCTGATGGCCTGTGATAATACTCTGGCTCAGAAGCAGTGTGGCTGTGATGATCCCTGCTTGTTGGCCGTAAGAATTTATTTGCTTGTTTATCACCCACCCTTGTAATACCTTAAGCACAAGGTCAGGACAAGAAAAGATTAAAAAGCCCATTTTATGGGGTATGTAAATACCAGTGCTACCAATGGCATTATCCCAAAAGGATGTTAGATTCTTTACATACGGTTTTGAAATAAATTCCCAAAATAAGGATATAGTTCAAAATCGGTTAATTTTCTGTTTCATTTTATTGATGTTTTGCATAACTTTGTTGACATTCACAAGGAGTTAAAGCTGTTGTGTCACATCCTCAGCTGCTGCAAACTGGCACCACGCCACTGATGTCAGAGGGGCAACAATGATTTACATCAACCAAGGCTTTTGGCATTGTGAAGAGGTGAGGAGGGGACCCAAATGGCTTCCCCACACCAGGTCCCATAGTGAGAGACGTTCTGTGTCCAACTTAATGGCAGGTTTAGCGTTTTCTTTTGTTGCTTGGCACTTTCAGTGTAACCCCTTTTCCCCGCTTCTCCCTGCCAGAAGTGAGAGATGAGTCAGGTCTCCCTCGCTCTGGATGCACCTCAAAATCCCTTGGAAATAACGTTACTGCATTCTAGCAATAGTTGGCATGGATTTTTTTTCCATCCATGGCATGTGGCTACTAATTATAGTCCTGCCTCTCAGTCAGTTGTAGAGGGCTGCCAGTGGGGGTCAAGAGCATCTTAACATCATTCATCGCCATCACAATTTGGGGCTACAGATGTTGTTTTGTGAAAGATTACAAAGAACCCCAAAGTTCACTTTGATGGGGAGATGGGGGAATTCTTCTTCCATTATGGGTTTTAACAAAGTACATATATATATATGTATGGACTTCATTTTCTTGTATGTTTTTCATCTTTCTCTGGTTTATCACGTACAAATTGTCTACCCTGAAGTTCCTGGAAAAAACTTATTTCTTGACCATGGAATTACTTTTAACCATGTATTTATTTCCTTAAGGACATCCACCTACCAATTATTTTTTGCCGCTTCCTCCCCTGTATTTCTTTGCTTGCCACAAACAGACTCATTCCCAACCACTAATATCCGTGATAGCCAAGAGTAAGACTGAAGTTAGTGCAAATTTGCCAGATTTTCACTGATTTCTCGGGGGAGAAGGAATGGAGAACATTAGGCAGGAGATGTGGGTGTCCTTTAGCCTCTTGTATGAGCAAAAGTGCTTTATGTGGGCTCAGGCACCATGGTGATGGAGCACAGATGGGGCCTGAACACATAGGTATAGAGCAAGGAACAATAGGGGCTGATACCACGACCCTTCACTTTACCTACAAGGCTATGTTGCACCTCACTTCAGTGACAAGTTCTCACCTCTTTCATAGGAAAATGTGTGCTGTTAAAGGGAAGCTGTTTGCTTCTCACAACTGCCACTGTCCCTCATGTGGGACCTCCTGAGGTTGGGCTGGTGATGGGAGAGGAGATGAGGTCAGGTAGAGAGTGAAGCCAAAGGAGTCTGCTTTACATCAGCATCTCTCACCTGGTTGATCTGAGCCACTTCTATTCAACTTTTGAGGGCTTGTTGTGCTAGAGCTAGAAGCCCTCAAAGTATTTTAGATAAGGAAAAGTTGCAGTGGTTGCATCTCCAAGCTCAGGTTGACCTGAGAACCTACTAGAGTTACAGGCATGCTCAGCTTGGTTTGCATGGAGCAATGAACTATTTTGCTGCAGTCAGATCATGTGTACACCATATGCTGTGGGTGAAGAGAAGGCAAGTCATACCAGGTTAAAGTATAGCCTTTTCATGTGCTTTCTTCCCTCCTTCTGTCCCTCCCCTAAACAGGAGTCTTTTTCACTCTCCTGCCCTTAACCTGAGCTCTGCAGGACACCAGCTAAGGGAGCATTCTCTCTTTGCACGGTGAATTAATGAGTTCAGATGGTCACCTTACACAGCAGAGATGTGTGGGAAAGAAAACCTGTGTCAATGTGAAACATGTGTGCGCCTATCCCAAGGACGAGGCATCTGATTCATAAATCAGTGGCAGGGAGGTAAGGAGAGATGTGTGGGTTTGTTAACAACTGTTGGACTTAAATGGTGCATTTTACTCTTTTTCATCTTAAGTCTCCCAAGAAGATCATATTTTTGACTTATATGTTTTCTTTCTGGTGCTGACCACAGTTTAAAGCATCCAGAAGGTCAGTGTGTTCCCGTTTAGTGTTGTCTTGTGATTACCAGTGATGCTCTGTGCACACAAGCATTGCCAGGATCTGTAGGGTATGTGTTTGCAGGAACAAAGGAAGGCTGGAAAAGCTGTCCGAGAGCTGTGTCTTGCCTGCCCCTCTGGGCTGCTCAGTCACCTGGAGTGTGTTAATGCTGCAGCGAGTAGGACATGGGGAAATTCAAATACTGTTTATCTATGCTGGAAGCAAAGACATGCGGATGTGCCTTAGAGGAGAACATATATTGTACTGCTTATACCAATTGCCCATTTAAGAAGGACTGAACTTACAGCAGCTCTTAATGTCAGGCAGGAAGTTGTCCCATTGTAGTGAAATCTGCTGCCCAAGAAGCTGTCCGTGTACCTGAGTGGATGTGACTAATGTGGGTCTGAGATCTAAAACTAGCTTTGGGACTGAGCCTATGGTTCATAGGATCTCCTTTTCCCTAATGTGGGTTCATGTTAGCTATCACAGCTGTAGTGGGTGTGGAGGTTGGGGAGAGCCTCAGACCTGGGACTCCATGTGCTAGCCTTGCCTATGGAACTAGGCTAAGGCAGGAATAGCTGATTCAGGTCAGACAGAAACCTGCCCATTTTGCCAGAAGATGTCAATTCCATCTGATCTTTTAGAAACACCTCCCCTTTTTCCCTTGCACTGTCTGCATTAGCAGTCTCTGAGCCTTGCTTTCAGGGCTGGAGGAGAGGAAGACTCTGCTGAAGAAAACTGCCCCGTGTCTCCTCCCACACCGCAAAGACCAAATGGATCCTTCTGAGAATCCGCAGTTCCTGCTTACGCCACGCGTGACATTCCCAATCCCTTCACCACTCATGGTCGTTTCTGTGGCTCTTCCTCCATAACTAACTCCAACTGGCACAGCTGAGACCTCAGCACGATGAATCCTTGGAGCACAGCCAGCTCTTGCTTTTATTTTGCACTTGTGTTGCTGATGTCAAGCCTTTGAACGAGGCCCCAGTTGCAGCATGGAGCAGACGAATACAAGGAGGGTGGTTCTTGTCTTGTGGAGTCGACAAGAGTCACAAGATCTCCAACAGGATGCCAGACTGTGAGCGTTTGTTGTGGTCCAAGCCACTGCTTATTTCCTCTGGTGACGCAAACTGGAGTCAGTCCTTTCTGGTGGTCGAGTGTGTGCGGAGGGCGATGCAAACCTCCCGGCATCTCTCTGCTCGTACATGCGCACGTGTTTGCGCAAACCCAGAACCAACAGGCTTGAATCAAAGACAACTTGGTGTGGTGGTTTGGTCTGTGGGCTGCTGGGGCTCTGCACCAGGAGCTGTTGGGCTGGAAATCTCTGGATGGAGATGTGGAAAGAGCGTGGGATGTGTAGCACCTCATGCTGCTGAGACCAGCAGAGGCTGGATCTTAACGTTCTCAAGCTGCAAGCAAGAGCTTCCCAGCTAGAGCTAAACATTTGCCGTAGACATCTGTAACGTGGGACAGAAATAAGATGCTATTAACTAGCCTGTGATAATAATCATAACCTTGGACATAAATACTCTCCTGCCAGTGGTTTCCAATGCAATCTGGTCAAAACAGAGATTAGGCTTCATGATTTCATGGCAGTGAATTTGCCTCCTGCTCTGCAAGAAGAAAGAAAAACTCTTCATAATGAATGGTGCCGACAGCTTTAGGACCTATAAGCTATCTGCCTGCTGAAGAACGGTTGTTAAGTCCTCAATACCTCAGCAGCCTCTTTCCAGTTTAATAACAACACTTCTCCTCTCTCATGTTGCTGTAGTTGTATGGATTTTAAGTCTGCAGCCAGGGTAGGACCAAGTGACAGCAGCAACAAAATAGTCATTGGTGTTGACTTGCATTGCCTTACTGAACGTCAGTAGTTGAAAATGCACCTGCACTACACATGCAACAGAATATCCTGTAGAACTCATTGTTTTCCAGGTGACGCTGATCTGTCTCTTTCTGACATTGTATGGCTCCTTGAAAGCAACATTCTGTTCCTGTAAACAAAAGCAGTTCTCACTGTGCAGGAGTGACAACTTGTACAGAAAACCTTTCTGATTTGGAATGCAAAATGAAGTCCCTTTTCTCTGTGGAAATCCAAGATTTAGCACATGCAAGTTCTTCCAAATGAAATTCATTTGTTTCATAATTATTTTTTGCTGGTTTTCCATGTAATGAAAACTTGTGGAATGCTCTTCTGGTTTATTATGCAGCAGGAAGGAGATTTCCTTGGACAAGTGCACACAGACTGAAGCTCTGACTTGACATCCTCACGCAGACACAGGACTACCTCAAAAGCCTGTCCCTAAGCTATTTGACTGTGGTGCTCCTGTGCAGAAGGATTCCGTCTTGCTGAAGTGGATGTGGCTTTGTGTCAAAAAGTTTTTCCAGTAGGAGCCTATTTGGGAGGGAATGTTTCTACAAAACTGAAGCACCAAGCGCTTTGATTTGCCCTGTTGTGAGATGGAAAATAGAAGTAGAATTAGTGTAAATATTTGTCTTATCTAATTTCCCCACAAACGCACTTTAAATATTGGCCAGTGTATTTCTTTAAATCTCAGCTCTGATGCTTGAAATACTTTATTTTGGCTGATTCCCAGAGGGTATAAAAAAATAGATTCTCTACTATTGCAAATTAATTAAACTACAGATTAGATTGGAGTGTTACTGCAGGTGCAGAAAGCTTTCCTCTGCCTTCCAAACTTCTCCAATCTTATTATCTGGCATGACAAATTTCCTACAATTGACCTACTAGCTTTCCGGCAGCTAAGTATATGGTCAGTCATTCTTCTTAGTGAAAATCAGCCAATCCTTTTTTAACATGGAATTAATGAAGTGATGAAAATTTACATCAGCAAAGGATTCATCACTGTATTTTACACACAGCCGTACTGCTGAATTAAAGACATTGAATGTTTCCATAAATACTGAACATTCATGATAATCCAAGATTTGAAGCCCTAATTCTGCCACTTTACAGTTAAGCTGATAAAGTATGAGAGAAAAAGAGGGGATTTTAGTTCAAAATATGCTTATTTTGTTTCTCCAGTAAAGAGAAATGATTACTTGAGCAAAAATTATGATCATGATCTAAGAAATCTGTGGGGTTTAGGCGAAAGGTTTTCACTGTATGCGACAGAAAGTTATTCTGGTATCCCTAAAGCTTTTCTCTTCTGTCTTTGCAGCATAGTCAAGTGTCAAATGTCAATAGGGCCAAACAGGCCAATGAATTCTCCTCAGTTCTTCCGTGACCCTCAAGTCTTTATTTCACTTTAATGAGTGGAAGCCAGAGGTAATTCCTATGGCCTGACAGCTGGTGGATCATCTATAGCTTAAATGAGACTTTGGAGAACATGTGTCTCCAGAAGGAAAGAACATGTGTGGTCATTGTGAACCTGCTCAGGAAAACCTGACAGTCCCAGAAATAACATTGATAAGTATATACTCAGCAATTGTTAATTCTCCAACGGGATGGGTGCCTGCTGTGTTGCTGTTGCACACAATTCCCAATTCTATCCTAGTGTGCTTAAAAAGAAATACCTTGGTTTGTGCTCTTCCCATTGGATGTAGGCAGTGTCTGTGTAAAGTAATCACTGGAATAGAGTGAGAGCATGCAGGTAGGCAGTGAGATAAAGACTGGGCACTACCTGGGCTCTAATTGAGCCAGATCAGGAGCCAGTGAGTGCTTCTGCACTAATAACCAAAGCCAAGTCCCGAATGTCATGATCAAACTCTTTCTTCTTCTGCCAAGCAGAGAGGGCATATCCAAATGGTCCTGAGAAAATGCTGTCTCCTGAACCATGACCAAAAGTCACCTGGGAGGAAGATTGCTGACACAGGTCAAACCAGCACATGCAGGGATGGATGTAAGGATGCTAACCAAGAATACTGATTTTGGACAGAAGGCAGGACTGTTGGGCATTGCAGTCGTTCAGAATCGGTGCGTATGTTCAAGGGCTTGCTTAAGAATATACTTAGATTTTATGACATGTGTTTCTGTCTTCCTGGCAAGTCCTAATTCAAGGTCCAGACATGAACTTTCTTGGTTCCAGAATGATGCTGATGTAATGCACAAACATGCTTTACCAAAAAAGACCAAGTCTTTAATATTCAGGACAATGAAGGATTTGGGTTTTTTCTTCTTCAGAGGTTTTACATCAAGACAGAGGCCGTCAATTCTCAGTCCTTCTGTCCTTTCAACCTCTGCAGCAGACTCTTCATCTCTGAAACAGACATAAAAGCTGCCCTCTGCTTCAACAGATAAGTGGAAGGGATGTAGGGGTAAAACCCATTCCCCCATCCTAGCTCCTGTATTTGTAGACTTACTCTCAGTTTGCAAGTCACTATTCATCATGATTTCATAGGAAAACAGGAGATGGGATAGATTTTTCATGTGCTTTTTATCTTCTCAACTGCCTAGGAGCAATCAAAAGCAAGACCTACATATCTATTCAGAAGGGCTGCTGTTAAATTCCCTTGGAAAAGCAATCCCAACACTGGACTTTTGCTATGTGCAAATCCCCACTGTAAACTGTAGAACTGATACATCTGGGACAACAGCAACTAGATCTCTAATGAAAGTGGGTGTTGACTGTTGGCTTCAGCCTAAAACCACATCCTTTTGGTGCTCCTCTGTTTTTTAGCACCTAGATCTGACCTTGATCAGAAATGAGCATAACTGCCCGAGCTAAGAATTGCCTTTCTGGGCCCCTGGTGCACAAGATATTTCCATGGCACAGTGATAGCTATATGCAATTGTGTAATCTTTCCAAGCCGACAGGGTCATCCACTTTGTGTTGTTAATGACTGTTACTCTCCCAAAGACAAGCCTGCAGTGGATTTACTGAACTCACTCGTGTTGTCAGAAGACAGTAGTGCTGAGATCAGCGTTCACACGGGACATGAGGAGAAAAGGTTAGATCATGAAGAACCGTTCTGGAGTTTTGCAAGGGAGAGGTATCAGCCCAGACTTGGCCCTTTGCAGGATATGAAAAGCAACCTTCACACTTGCATGACCCGGTGCTGCAGTGGAGTCCATGCTCTAGGGAGGAGGAGCTGACCACCAGAGCAATGAGTTTGGAGTAACAGGCTTTGTGTACTCAGAAGCTAGTAGGATTGCTGGAGGAGCAGGCTAGAGTGTTCTTGCCTTGGCCTTGTGGCAAGCCTGGCTTGTACCTTGGGATCAATGGCTTGCTGAGTGTAGCTCCAGCTTTGCTGTTGGTTTTGTTTCTCTGAGACTTGAGGGAAGACATGCACAATGTTTTCAGTTCTAGATCTAACCCTGATGTGCAGACACCTAAGCAGTAAGGTGGTGTGCCCAGTCATATTATCACTCTTTGTCCAGAGAAGGTTCAAGGTTCAGACCCTTGGATTCAGGGATTCACAGACCAAATCCCGGTCACAGGTCATCCTCGCCAGTGAAGAAGCTGCTGTTCCATGGTCACTTCTTTGAAGGCTCTCTTATTCTTTCTAAATGCATGTGTTCCTGATCTTTAATTCTGTGCTGCCATGAAGTAACTGAGAACTAAGTATCCTGTTTGTTTTCCTTTACCTTGAATTCTCCAGCTTCCTCAGCCTTGTTTGGCTCACACAGGTCTCTGCAATCCACCTCGGTGGTTGTAATGCCTGATGATGTGATGCAGTGGTTTGTGTCGGCAGTGATCAGCTCTGAGGCAGGTGTGGTGAAGGGCAGTGGAGTTAATTCACACAAGCATCTCTTGGAGCATGGTGTGTCCTTTGAAATACACACTTGCATTGGCATCCACAGAAAACACCCACTTGCCCTCTCTCCATATCCCTAAGAAACTAGAAACTACTCCTTTGCAAAGGTGAGAAACTAGCACCTGGGAAAATGGAGTAGTTGGATGAGATGGGGACAAGTGCCTTCTTGACTGCCACAAAGAGAGACTGGGAGGACTTGGCTCCTTTCTTGTCTCTCAGTGGTGAAAGACAGACATGAGCAAATGCCTGCATCAGGAGTCTAGCTTGGGCCAGATCAGGACAAGGGTTGAGCTCAGATCCAAATTGTTCTTACTTGGGTTTGGCTGCCAGTGGTGAGTATCTTGCAAGATCCAGTCACTGTATGAGCCTTTTGCAATCTTGGCTGGAGATGTAGTGCAGCTAATTCAGCTTCATGCTGGTGAAACAGGCCCTTTTCTGAAGCAGCATGTGTAGAAAACGTTTTCTGGAAGTGCAGGCACAGGTTTGGAGGAGGAAGGTAAGAGAACATTTTAACTCAAGGACCAGTCTGAAGTAGTAATAAATTGTGCAAATAGTCTAAGAAAAACCTTGGGCTGGAAATGAAAGTGTTTCTTTCTATCAGAATAAGCTGCTTTGGAAGAGATTCCTAGGGAGCCAATGAGCTCGTGGGCAGATTTTCCCAGAGGGAACTACAGCTTCCCCACTAAAGAACACCTAAGGAGCCTGAAGGGGTGTGATGCACCTGCAGGTCCTGAAGGAACTGGCAGGTGTATTGGCTAAGCCACTATTGTATTTGAGAAGCCATGGCAGTCTGATTTGCCTTGATGCTCAGATTAAGTAGGCAATTCTCATCCAGAAAAGGGAAAGGAAAGAGAAGGGGAAAGGGGAAAAATGGAGAAAGAAGGGGAGGAAAGATTGGATGTCTTTCACTGAAAACAGAAATTTGTCTGATATCTCATTTACTGCCTGAACATACCAGTAGTTTTGCTAATCTAATCCTGATCCTTTCATAGTGCATACTACTAAAGTGCATGCATTTGATTTTAAAAGGATAATCACTTATCATGTAAAAGTCAACCTTACATTAAGGTTAATTTTCTGAATTTGCCATTTATGCTTGTGCATATTAAGAGAGGTGGGAGCAAATATCTGTCTCTACATCAGCACTAATCTCATTTCTGAACTGGTGCTTTTACTGCAGAGCTAAAGTCCAGCCTCCAGTTAAATCCTGGAAAGTCCTCTAAAGAGACTTCTGCCCTTTTGTATCCACTCTGAGACACATGGAAACCTATTGAGAAAGCCCTTTCTGTAGGAATTAATGTTTGTTGTTATTTTTATATAGGGGTGGTGCTGTGACCGATGCTGCTGGGTACCGAGGGGAGGGCGGATGAGGGAATGCATCCATCTGCAGCATTAA